ACTGTGCGTGAGACGCTTTACGTGGGTTATGCCGCCTGATTTCCCCACTGCTCCCGTGAAGTGAGTAACATTATTCCCATTTTGCTGATGGGGACACTGAGGGCTAGAGGCCGGAGAAGCAGATGGCCCACTCACACTAGGAACCACAGGGTTGAATAAAGGGAGTGGTCAGGGTGTAAGAAGCCCACAGGATTGGAGTGGCCCTTGGGCTGTAACCACTGCCAGCCCTAGGGTCAAGGAGGGGCCCAGGGCCAGAGAAAGCCAGTGTGGAGAGGGTGGCTCCCACGGAGCTATGACCTTGCAGGGAAGGAAGGACACAGCAGCCTGAGGTGACTCCATAGAGCAGGAGCCGGGCAAGTAGATACCCCAACCTCCCTTTCTCCTGTCCTCCCACCTCCTCCCAGGGCTGCTCCCCAAAAGCCAACCCCAGCCTGGCAGAGCCCAATGGTGAAGAGTAGGAAGGAGGGGCAAGCAGAACACACCCCATCCCAAGCCCAAGGCCCCTGGCCACTCGGTCTATGGATTCTGCCCAGACCTGCCAACCTTCAAAGTCCGGGCTCCTGCCCCCTCCCGGCTGTTCCCCAACTTGTGGGGCGACAGTCCTACAGGCAGGGAGACCCACGACCCACCCCCCAGGGGCCACATGTGTATCCAGCAGTGCTTCCCGTTCTGCTCTGGTTTCGCAGGAACAGAACCTGGGAGCATCTTGGTGCCGCCCAAGTTCATTCCCTGCCCATCGCCTGCTTCAGCGTCCAGGTCTCCAACCTGTAGAGGGCGGTGGCCCTCCGCAGGCCCCAGCAGACCCTCCCAGGAGGTCCCCTCCTCCCCTCGGGCAGCTGCCCAGCAGCCCTGGTCTGCGCCAGACGCACAGGGAAGAGTTGATTGATGAGCAAGTGGAAGTGGGGGTTCCCCTGGGAGAACAATTTCACTTTACGGGGAAGGAGCACCGGAACGGGGAGCTCGGGCTCTAAACCCAGCAGGCAGGCGTGCAGGCGCGGCCAGGAGCATGTGTAACTCATTACCGCGGTGGGCCTCCATTTGTGGCCGGTGGAGGAGGAGGCCACGAGTGTGGTGGAGGGTCTGAGGCTGCGGGGTGAGCTGACTGCAATATTTTTCTGACATTAACGCCTCTCTCTGACCCTCAGAAAAGGCCGGACCCAGCCAAACACCACCCGCCCAGGCCTCCTCCTCCTCCGCCTCCTGGCGCCAGACTGGAGAGGCTTGCCGCTATCCAGGCTAGCAAAGAAAGGCCCGGGGAAGGTGGGAGCGGACGGAGAGGAAGGGGGAGAGGAGAGAGAGGAGAGATGAGCGAGGCAAGGGGGAGCAGGCCCAGCAGGTCCCTGTTGGGTTTCTGTTCAAAGGAGGTGAAGTGGGCATCCAGGCCAGAGGAGGCCTGGCTACAGGACCTTGAGGCCCAATTCTGCAGTCACTCCTTCCACGTTCGCTCAGCAAAGCAGGTGCAGCCAATGCTTTGCAGGTGGAGACCCAGCGGTGAGGAGGTCCCGCCCTCGGGGCCTTCCCATCACCAGGGGGCTCCGCTGGGGATGCTGAAAGCTCAGACACGGGAAGGAGGCAGGTCCTGAGAGGTGCCCCACCAAGGGGTGCAGAGAAGGGAGAGGTCCCGATGAGCCAAAGAGTGGGGTGTGGGAAGGAGCCCTGGAGGACGCAGGAGGTGGCTCCTCGTGGAGGAGGCAGAGGAACCCAGGCACCGAGCAGCCCTCACCTTCCCTGTTCACCTGGTGAGTGGAAAGGGTACAGATAAGGGCCGGGTGGGAGGGGGAAGGAAGGGGAGCAGAAGAGGGGAAGGGACGCTGTTGGCGTGACCTGTGAAATACCACGTTTGCCCCCTGACCTCTTTAAAGTGCCACCTGCATTAAAGTCCAGGTCATACCCTATATCTGGGCTGCATTTTTGCAACCTTGTTCCCCAGATCCCAGTATCCACATGGCCAAGAGGAGGCACCCCCTCTCCTCCCCACCTCCCTGCCTTCAAGGGAAGAATCTGGAAAGAACGCAGACCCCTGTGAGGCCCACCAGACGGTACCGTTTTGATTCCATCAAGGCCCACGAGTGGCTGTGCTCTCCCTCCCTGTCCTCCCTCTGCCCTCTATCTTCTTTCCCATCAACTTACACCCCCACCCCCACCCCCATTCTCACTAGCCCCACCTTCGTTTCCCTCTCCTGTTACACTCTCCAGGGATAAGGATCAAGAAAAAGCAAAATCCTGGGGAAACAGATCAAATCTGGCTGGAATTTCCTCAAGCCAGAGCCCATCACTTTCCTCCTATAAACAAAAGCGAAGAGGACAGGGGAAGAAAAGGAGCCCACCAGCTTTTAGGTAGCTGGCTGCATCTCAACACTCTAGTTCTTCCCTACCTCACCCTCCCCTCCCTGCCCCCGCCCCACCTCACACCTGGCATCCAGGAATGAAGAGTTGGGAAGACCCAGATGATTTGGAATTCAGATTTAGAAAACATTTGCTTGGCTACCGTTAACTTTCAAGGACCCTGTTTTAGTTCGTTCATTCATTCCTTCATTCATTCATTCAACAAATACACAGTGAGCACTCACGATGTGCCAGGCCGGGAGACATCCATGAACAAAACAGAGATGCTGCCCTTGTCCGGTCGTTCTTCCCATGAGAAACAGACAGTGAGTGACACACGCAGTCAATAGGAAAATTACATTGTAACTTTAGAAGGATGTAAGACTGTGGGAAAAAATGGGGTCCGAGTGCAGGGGTGGCTGGAAGGCCTACCGGGGAAGGTGAGGTTTGAGCAGAGACTGGAAGGGGGTGAGGGAGTGGGCTGAGTTGGTTGGGGGAGCAGCCAGAAGGGGAGCAGAGGCCCTGGCGGGCACGCCGGCAGGTTCAGCGTGGAAGACGGCTTCCTCCGCCAGGTCAGTGCCTGGCTTTTTACTCCCGTTGAGGTGGGAGCCTTTGCCTGGTTCTGCTCAGGGTAGCGGCACGTCCCAGGTTAGATTTTAAAAGGACCACGCCCTAAATGCAATGACCAAACCTTCTCTATATGCAGGGAGTTAGAGCGAGACAGCACCTCAGAGACACCCCAATGCCCCCACGTGGCAGATGGAGACACTGAGGCCCAGAGACAGGATGTACCTTGGTCAGGTCACATGCTCTGGGAGAGGTGAGTCAATCTCAATCCCACATCTTCCAAGCTCTCCTGGCCATATTGTATGGGGTGCTGGGCCTCAGGTTACCCCTGAGGAGATTTGCTCTGATCAGATCTCCCCATGGCTGAGGAGGGACACAAAAACCAACTTGGCCTAGGGACACAAAAACCAACCTGGCCTTTGCCGATGTGCTGGTGGGGACAGGTTGAGCCTGGCCACTGACCGAGTGGCCCCGGGTCCTTCCTCTCTTCCCGGGTGGCATTAGCCTGACAGAAATGCTGGCCTGGCTTAGTGCCGCTCAGCCGGTCATCCTTCCCCCAACTACCTCTTTTCTTAGAGAGTTGTATTCCACCTGTAAGGCCTGTTCCCGAGAGGCTTCTCCCTGCTTGACTTCAATCATCACACATATTTTTGCCCACTTTATATGCTGGGTAATCCTCCGCACGCCAGTCCTTTCCCCCGGGGTCATAAAGGCTCAGAAGGCAAGGATGGTTTAATTTCTCATGGGAGTGTCCTGGCATCTAACCAATAGCTTGGCACATGGTGGGTTCTCAAAATATGTTTGTTGCCTGGGGTCCAGAGGAAGAGATGTGATGGGGGGCAGTTGACTAGGGCAGCAGGAGCGGGGGGGGGGGGGGGGTGTATTGGTCCCAAGCCCAAATTTGCCTTGTCTTCCCTCCCAGTGTAGACTGTCCTCAATCGCTGCCTTTCTAAGTCACGCAACTCCCCTTCCTACACTTAGCACCTTTTGGGAGAAAAAAAAAAACAGGCCTGGAGCATGAAGGAGAGTCATTTCTATTTTGAGTGATTTCACAACAGAGGTGGCTCGCAGAGTGGAGCACAATGAACATAACCTTGAAAAGGGGCCTGAATGACGGTTAATTTTGCGTGAACCTGACGGTGCCATGACAGCGCCCAGGTTAAACGTCATTTCTGGGCGTGTCTGGGAAGGTGGTTCTGGGTGAGATTGGCTTTTGGATTGGTGGGGCTCAGGAAAGCAGATTGCTCTCCCTCATGCAGGTGGGCCCCATTCAATTAGTTGAGGGCCTGAGTTAGAATAAAAGAGTGGAGGTGTTTGCTCTTTGTTTCCTGCCCGACTGCTTGCGTTGGGCCATCTCGCCTCCTGCTTTACGACCCTCAAGATGCTATTTAGACCGCTGACTCCTCTGGTTCCCAGGCCTTCTGACTTGGACTGAGTTACACCCCGGCTCTCCCGAGTCTCCAGCCTGTAGATGGCAGATGGCGGAACTTCTCAGCCTCCATAGCCACGTGAGTCAATTCCTCACATTGTATCACACCGGTTCTGTTTGTCTAGAGAACCTGACTCCTACAGACTCTCTCTGTTTCACTCTTTTGTGAGCTCCGTTCTATGCATCTTTGACGTAGGGAGGAGGCTCTCCACTCCTGCACTTAATGCAAAGAGAAGCGTGTGCATTCACGCAGCAATTTACGCAAAGCACCTACTAAGTATTGAGCTCTGTGCTGGCTTTGTGTGGAAATGGATTGTTGGCTCCTAACCTGAGAGGGTCCAGGCTAATTGTTTCAGATGTCTTTGTCTGACCGCAGTCTCACTCACTCAAAGGAGAGAGGCGAAAGGAGTCAGGAGACCTCTATGACGGATGAGCTGAATTATCCCTAATGCTTTTCTCAGCCTCCATAAGCTTGTCTGTAAAACAGCTCCTCATCTTGCTAATCACAAAGAGTTGTTGAGATGTATGAATGAGAGGACACTTGGAAACGACCCCTCAAAGCACGAAGTTCGCCACATGCAGTATTGGGCAGGAGGTCCCCGCACCCGGGGGCAATGCCCAGGTTGGGTGTGGGGCCCGGGGCAGACCTCTCCCCTGGGCCTGAGCCGCAGGCACTCACCGTCCTCACACAGGTTCAGCTTGGACAGGCTCCTGCCATCGAAGGGCTCCTCAAAGAGGGAGCCGGTGTCGCGGTCGCTCACAGTGTTCAGGTACATGGCTTTGTTCTCCATCCTGTCCTTCAGCAGCGGTGGAGAGGCAGCGAGAGGAGAGGGGAGGGAGAGAGAGAGAGAAGGAAGGGGGAGAGAGAGAATAAACTGTAGGTGGAAACAGAAGCGAGCGAGTAGAACAAGGTGTCCACCCTGTGGCCCTGAGCCTGATCACTGGGCTGCTGTCCTCCACCGGTGACATCTACAAGGACCTTAGGACTCCGATTCCCCCTCCCCAGTTTCCTCATGCTTCAGAGGGCCAAGGCCCTGTGAGCCTTTCTGATAGTGGGGATCTGTCTTCTTCCTTCAACAGCTCTCGGTGGGGCTGGCGCCCTGAACTGGGGCCGGCACCCTCCAGAGACCCCTGACTTCAGGGCTGGGAAGAGGCTGTAAGTGAGCAGTTGTCAACCAGCTGCCCTTCTGACAGCCAGAGGGATGGAGAGCAGATTCTGCTCTTGTCTTTTCAAATAATGAGATGCCACATCTCCTGCATACCCATGTGTACATATATTCACATGTATGTGCACACACTCGACATGTGCTCAGATACACAGACATGCACGTGTACACTCACACATACATGCAGTATTCACATACATGCAGTATTCACACACATGCACTCACACACATGCATGCACTTACACACATGCACACACACACATACACACACATGCACGCACAGTCAGGGTGTTCACAGTCTCTGCAGGCCTTTCTCCCAGCCTGTGGGAGAAGGGGCAGAGGGGAGCCACGTCTCTGCCATGGCCTCTTTTCCCTGCACCAGGGGCTTCCCGGAGCTCCGAGACAGCTCCTACTCAGCTTCTCTGGGCTGCAGTTGTGTCCAGTTTGCTAATCTCCCGATAACCTCCATCCATCCAAGTCCTCCACCCAGTAAGGGCCTCTAGGTGGGTCCCTGAACAGCTCCACTGCTGCTAAGCTGCAGGGGACCCTCCCTAGTTTCAGAGCACTGTGTGCAGCACCCCTCCCTCTATCTCTGTGGGATCCAGCAAGCAGGAGGCCGGTGTCTTCTGCCTGCGGTAACCCTCTCCTGGCCAAAGGCAACAGGCGCTGCTGCCCGGGGTCGCAGGGAGCCAGAGCCGCCATGCTGGAGGGAGGTGTAGAGATGGGCGTGGGCCAGCGTGGCCCCATCTTCACTTTCACCATCCCCTCTGGTGCTCAGCTCCTGGCAGAGATAGGATGCACTCCTAGTTATGTGGGATGTGTCTGTAGGGCGGCCCCATCTCTGCTCCCTCCGCACCCCTCAGCTGGCGGAGCAGGATCCGGGGGAGCTGGTTGGGGAGACGGGCTGGCCGAGCAGGAGGCCAGATGTGAGTGAGATGAGATTGCAGATGCTCAGCCAGCTCTGCTAATGTTTGTTACTTGGGAATGAAACCCAAGCATGTTCTTTCAAACCAAGGTTTATTTTAGGCCCTTCCATCGTTGGTCTCAGAGCCGTCTTCGGGCCGAGTCTGCTCTCAGGCCAGGTACAGCTAGCCGCCGAGTGGGTGATGATAGAGCGAAACCCCTCACGTGTGCATACATCCCACAAACTGCAATCCATTTGCCATCCGGGGCCTCTCTGCCCTCCCAGGAGCACTGTGGGGTGAAGTCAGTCTGTCATTCCCATTTTAAAGACACACAGAGGCATAAAGAGGCAAGAACCAAGGATGTGGGAGAGGGGCGAGGGGCCACACAAACGCTCCCCACCCAGGGCACTGGCTCAGCACGAGAGTGCTTTGTCCTGGAAGGGTTAGCCATCCCTTTCGGTGACCACCTTTAGGGCCCAACATGAGTCAGTTGAGGGGGACCGGTGGGGCTCTGACAGCCGGAAGGGAGGGGACAAGGCCATGGAAACATGGGAGGTGTGGACACCCAGGTGCCCTGGGGAGGAAGCCCAAGGAGCCCGCACCTCTGTGTTGTCAGCCAGAGTGAGACCTTCCTCCCCTACTTCACCTCTTAGAGTGTCTCGCTGGTGCATTTTATTTTATTTGATGGTGCATTTTAGGGCTTAGGCTCTCAGCCATCCTCAGCCCCACCCCCGGCGCTCTGAGCAGGCCAGCAGACACGGGGTCCTTTCCTGGCTCCGCTCCTGTTCCTCGGGAACTTGGCCCCATCAGCTGAGCTCGTGCCGCCTCAGGCCGTCCTCTCTACGATGGGGAGAAGCACACCTGCCCGCCACGCGGTTATGGAGAGCTTCGTGTGGGACCGTGAACGTGGACGGGCTTTACGAACAAGGGCACGCAGGAAGTCGGCGGCAGTCTGGTGAGAGCCATGAGCCCCCGGCATCTTCTGATTCTGCCTCGCAGCCAGTGAGGAGGGTCTGCAGGTTCCCGAGGCCTCCTTGCCACTTTGACAGTGTCAGGAATCATGCTGGAAGGGCGCCCTTTGCAAAGGCGATCGTGAATGCGGGCCAGAGCTAAGATCCGGACCCGACTCTCAGAGTCCCTCTCCGGGCAGCAGAAGGACTCGGTCAATTCTTCCTGCTGAGGAGGTGGCATGAGCCTTGCTTGTTGCTGCAAAGAGGGTGTGTCTGGAACCCAGCACCTCATGCTGCAGGGCGCACAGCTTTTCTTTGGATCCCTCGCTGTCATGTGGCCTCTCTGGAGAGTGGATCCCTAAGTGGGCTTACAACACTCTCCTCCTCTAACTGTACTTAGTTAATCTCAATCACAACCCCAAGCTGGAAAGGTGCAGATGTTTTATAAATAAGCTCTCCTTTCATATATATTCCACCACCAGGCATGTGTGCACAGACATAGAAGCACACACATCACGCATGCACACAGACACACATGCGCGCGCACACACACACACACACACACACGCACACACACATGCGCACACACACACACACACATGTAGGGAGACTGTCACCCATACCATCTGCTCCCCGAATCGGCTCTGGAGCAGTGTCCCTTGCCTGGAATGCTTGTCCCTAAGGCAATAGCTTCCTCTGGCACCCAAATGCAGACTCTCAGTCGCCAGTGCAAACAGCTGGATCAGGGCCCCTAGTTCTCCTCAGGCTGCCACGGGGGCCTTCCCACCTTGGGCTGGCCCCTCCCTGCTCCAAGGCCTGAGGATGCCTGAACACCGTGTCCTCCCGCTGCCAAATACTGGGACAACGTTAGTGTCAAAGTGATAAAGACTCACCTTAGGGCCTCCACTGAGGCTGCAGAGGCTGTCCCCTCAGTTCCCGGCGCCCATGGTGGCTGGAGAGGTGGCTGCTACTGCTGCACCGAGACCCAAGCAGCCCCTGGGAGCCTGTCCCCACAGCCAGCCCAATCCAGAACAAATCATAGAAAGAGGCTGTGGGGGTGCCCAGGGACTTGTCTTGGGGTCACTTTTCCAGGAGGATCAGGTCAGGAGGTAAGACTCAGCTTTGTGCCCGAGTGGAGGCCTGGGGCTGGGGAGCCCTGTCTGGGTACCTCGCCTGGTTCAGCCAAGGCAGTGCTCGGGAGATGTCCTGTGGAGGCACCAGCCGCTCTGCTAGGTACTGACTGGGATGTGAACTGCAGCTGCTCTGGCGGCCAGTCTTTAAATGCAAAGTTTTTTGGAGCAATTGTGGAGGCCCACCTTGGGGTCTGAATCACGTCCCCCCTCTAGTGGCCACTTTTGGCATTACAGTCCACTCAGGGAGGGCTGCTAGGTCCAGAGCCGAGGAGCCAGCCTTGATCTTCATGTGCCTATTCCAAAGGCCCTGCTCAAAGTACCTTTTGGAAATCGTCTAGGAAAATGGCAGGTAGACCTGGCTTACAATCCATGCAAGGAAACCAGCCTTGTAAACTTATTTTGTAGGACAGAATTGGCATTGTTTAATGCATTCACCAAGCTTAGTTTAAGATTACTTCATGTTTTCCTAAAGCCACATCTACCCCCAAAGGACAAAGATTGGCCACAGTGGGAATAGTCATAAGAGCACCCCGTAATTCACAAAGTCAGTCTCGACATAACTCAGCAATAAATCCAGCATTAATGGAGAATTGACATTGCACAGAGGCGGGGAATGGGGGCGGCGGAGGGGGGGCGGGGGTATGGGCATGACTAAGACAAGTTCACTGTTCTCAAAAACGAGAGGTGGGCCCAGGCAGACATAACTATTTCCCTAAGCAGATTGATTACATTTAGAAAAGGAGATCTAACCAAAAAGTTAAGAGAGCAATAACATTTCTATTGGGATGGAGATGGGGGAAGGCACAAAGGAAATTCCAAAAATTGTCTGAGCCATGGCAATACAGCCCATTTATGTGGACAGCCCCTCTCCCCTGCCCCCAGCACAGAGCTCTGGAGGTAGCATTTATGCACAGGCTCCCATTCCTTGGTTAAAACTTCAGCCTCTATACTTGAGGGTCAGATCTCGTACAAGAGAACAGTTTGCCAAGGCTCAGCTCTCTTCACAGTACAGCTGCCAACCCACAGCTGGGTCAGAAATGTCTTAGTCACTTTCAATGACTACGCCTTCGGACCATCCCTGGGAGGCAGCTCCAATGTGAGGCCTGTATCATAGAGGAAAAAAGTAGTAATGATATAATAATGACAATGATAACAAAAGTAATAGTAATAATAGAAGGAGGAGGAGAAAGAGTAAGAAAAAGGAGAGAAGGGAAAAGAGGAAGAAGAAGGGAAAAGAGGAAAACACTTTATCGTATATGCCATGTGCTAGGCAATTCCAAGTGCTTTTCTCACAGGAACTCATTTAAGCTTGACAACAGCCCTGTGAGGTAGGTGCTATTATTATTCCAATTTTACGAAGAGAACAGAACTTGTCCAAGATCAGGCAGCCTGAAGTGCACAGTTAGCAGTAGTGCCGAGGAGCTTCATGTCATTGTACAAACACCGCCTCCATCCCTCCCAGAATTCTTTTCATCTTGCAAATCTGGAACTCTCTACCCATTAAATAACTGCCTGTTCTCCCATGTCCCAGCCCCTGGAAAGCACATTCTACTTTGTGTCTCAATCACTTGGACTATTAGGTGCCCTGCTATGTTTTCATTTGTGTCCTGATGGGCACTTAGGTTGTTTCCAAATCT